AATGATACTCTGTTAGTAGCACTTAACTTGAATTCTAAAGTGTACTCATCTGCGTAATGAATGCGATTAGAGTTAATGATACTCTGTTAGTAGCACTTAACTTGAATTCTAGAGTGTACTCATCTGCGTAATGCATGCGATTAGAGTTAATGATACTCTGTTAGTAGCACTTACTTTACATGTAATTTAATACTTTTATTTCTATTTATCTTGGATAAATGTGATTTTTGATTGGATATAATCGAAGACTAAACCGTTTGAGTTCGATAAAGTAATAAAGCTACTATACGATGCCATTGAAAATGTATACAAAGACTTAAATAACTACTAGAAAGTTTATCTTAGAGTAAAGCCACATTGGGTTATCTGCTGTGTTCACTGTAGGGAATCGAACCTTGGCTTTAATGTTATAATACCGTAGTCTTACCGTTGTCCCATCGGGTGCAATGCTAGAAAAAAATGTTTATATTTTTATATTTTAGTAAACCGCAAATACACTCAGTACACAATGGTTAAACTCCAGCCAGAGTCATTTATATTCTTCTTATTCGAACAGTTGATTTTTATTGAAATACCAATAAAATCTTATGTATCTTGTTAATAAAGACATTCGAATCTTATGAGGAAGGAAGTTAAACTTCAAATTATCGACTTGTTTTTATACTGTGCTCTACTTGTAGGGATACACGTAGTACATCATATTGATAATTATGTTTTGCTGGTGTTTGTGTTTGACCCGTTTGATATTGGGGCCCCTGTGACGAACAAAGAATGGATCCACTATTTAGTGCATAAATAATTCATAAAATTGTAGTTAAAAAGCCAATGGCCTCATCGATAATTCTCGGGTTAAAATCGAGTATTAAATGTAACACCATTCTCTATGTAAAAGTTTGAAAATATAATTTTTTTTCCGAGATCATCGAATTCCTTCTTTATGGACGTGTGGATGACATTAATTGCTTATAAAATTCTCACATCATACGTACAGTATTGAGACAAAATACCACGAGAGACAACTAAAAATATCTTACTGTGACCATATAACTTTAAAATTTAGTTGATGGTGTGTATAAGTTTTGCTGTCAATGGTTCAGAATAATGAAGCTCATATTTTAGGCTTACGTTTTCGCATAAACTCACTTGATTTTCACGAGAAGCGGGGTAGATGCTACGAAGTCTAAGCAGCATTTATTAGAATTACTAGTAAGTAGTAGTTCACAGGTTGACACATGTATCACTATAGAATACTTAATGGCTGTTTCTTGTACCCAACGAGGCTTTGAAGAGCGACTTCAATCCGGTGTCTGACACATGCATTCTCTGTTTACTTCTTTGGAAAAAGAGACGAATATTTAAGTATAAAGCATGATTCTTTCAAAGATAATATTTGTACATTGTTAAACCATAAGCGAATCCACCGCTTTTGTGGTTTATGACATTTTTATATCAAACTAAAAAGGTATAGTGATATATAATTTAACACTGAATAAGTAATGTCTTTCAATTCACGGTACAAGAATGTAGTATTCGCAGGTGAAACTGGTTTCCCGATAAGCATTAGATGGATAATTCCGCAATAACAGTAGAGTTTGCCCTGTAGGTTATAAAGGTTTTTGTGAGAGGTAATTTGATTGAGTTTCCATTTAGTGTGAAACTAATGAAGCTAGACGCCTTGTAAACAAATGGACAAAATCTTTATTTTAACAAATAAATAGAAAACCAGTGTACATACCCACTCTTAAATCAAACAGTCCTTTCCTCCTCTAGATAACCTTTACTTTTGTCGCCTTCTTTCTCTCAGGATCTATTGCAGCAAAATCATACACGATTATCTAAAAAAGCAGATTCACTTTGTAGATCATCTAGTGGAGAACTTAACAAAGAAAACGCGCTCAAATCTACAATGTAAACTCGCTTTCTTTGTCCAGTGGACAGTGTCATCTTATGACCTCTATCCTCACAGTATTGGTTGGCTGTCACTTTCAATCAACGTCATAATCGGCTAGCAAATTATATTTTGGTACCAGTCTGTTAAATGTGGATGCTCCACAAAATACTGGGAGAGAAGATGTTACCTACCAAATAAAACAAAGAACGAAGTATCTAGACTTTCATGACTTTCTAAACCATGTGTTGTCTCCATCACAGTACGAAAGTAGATAATCAAAAACTTTTGAAGATTCCCCTATTACCGAATAAAGTAGAAAAACACACGATATGATATCATATCTATAACTTTAGATTCTGCGCAAAGAACAAATATCAACTTGCCGTTGTGAAGTGCACTTGAACATTTTACATAAGAAGTAGGCGTGAGCACCAAGTTTGTTTTGAATTTCGCGCAAAGCTACACGATGGCTATCTGTTCTGGCCGTCCTTAATTTAGCAGTGATAGTCAATACCATCGCCAACTCTTGGGCTACTCTTTTACCTAAGAATAGTGGAATTGACCGTCACATTATAATGCCACACAGCTGAAAGGGCGACCATGACGGGGATTCCAACCTGCGATCCGCAGATTGCGAGGCGAGCGTCCTAGTGGCTAGGCGTTGCCAGGCCGTTGAATATCAAGTTACTGTATAGTAGAATATCATTCATACACGATGTTAGAGAGAAATTCTCACTACCTAAGAAGTCAATTTCAACTCCTAGTTCGCTAGATAAGGAGTGAATTTGAATAGCAGCTTACAGTATAGTAGATTATCATTCATACACGATGTTAGAGAGAAATTCTCACTACCTAAGAAGTCAATTTCAACTCGTAGTTCGCTAGATAAGGAGTGAATTTGAATAGCAGCTTAAAGTATAGTAGATTATCATTCATACACAGTTTTAGAAAGAATTTCGTATTACCTAAGGAGGCAATGTCAACTCTTAGTTGTCTAGATAATGAGTGATCCTTATTTCATAATTGTACTGTGGAGTATAACTATGTACTCTGTCTGAAACAAGGTTATTTCATACTTTAGGTTTACCTTTTCTTTTATTATAGTTTAAATTTGTACTTCCTAATCTTCTTCTGTTTTTGTTTAGTTGAGTAATACCATTTAGTCTTCAGTTTGGGGTTAAATGCAATTCGAAATTTATGTAGGTTGTTAAATGTTTTTAGATCCGTCATATTTTCCAGTTATTGTGCACATATTATTATTGTTTAGGCCACTTTTTTTCTCTAATAAGCAATGTGTTTGACAGTAGAAGTCTTTAGACCTTCTGTTACATTAGCCTTCTCACGTATGTTTTACACCATACCGTATCCTTTTTGTCACAT